GAGTGAAAGTGGTAATTAATTACGTTAATTACGAATTACGTATTTACGGTAATTAGCTAATTACCATATCATGTATAGGAAGGATCAAAAAATATATTATAGTTCTCATTATATAGTTCCTTATGAATAATAAATCTGATGTTGATTGCAGGTGTCAGATTTAATTAAAATTTCCTATCACCAACAAGCAAGCGTTGTGCTTTCACACGCCTCATAACTGTGTATTTTCTCCCACAGGTGAAACAATTGAACAAGTTGGTAGGCTTTGGACAAAAATTTTCCTTATCTTCCTCTCAGACCAGGCTTGGCTGTTACCATATAGGCATTGATTGCTGATGATAGCTGGCATTTGTGTGATGATTGCTTTGTGTTATACCAATCTGCAGCATAAAGTTGGCACCTGCAACTGATCCAACTCGGAGGTTGCAACCTGGGTTGCTGTTTTGGATTTTCCCTAGGTTCAGAGTTTGAGTCCTGAGTGCTGTCTTGTCAGTGGCATGGCAACTCACCAACAACCCTACCCATTCGAAAAACAAATTCAGTCGGTCAAATAAAAATTAGAGAAACAGAGAATTTATGGGAATATGATTAATTTATAATGTAACATACCAAACAAAACCTGAACCATTTATAACTTTTTCCTTGTTGGCCATATTGCTGACAAAGATATATATAATCATGCAATAATTTTAATCTATAGAACAGAAGACTGATTTGGGCAAAAACCATCCAGTCCTTTACCCAAAATCATAAATTGGTTAGTATCAGAGAAACAGAGCATTTATGAAAATAATTATACAAAACAAACATTATTTTACAACTTTCTAATATCATAACTCTTCAAAATGCTGCAGATTTGCGACTTGGTCATAGTGCCATCCTTACCCTAGAGGTGGGAACGTTGCAGATGACTTTTCGGCTAACGTGGCAGCCTTCTCTGGTCTGGGAAGATTAGTGAAAGTATCCTTGACGACTGATGCAATCATGATAAACTTCAGGGCCACGTACCCCCCTGGAATTCTGCAGCATCATTGTATATATCTCAGGGCAAGCTAGTCAGATTAACCTTTTGTACATGAGGAAGATGAGAATGACTGTAAGTGTTCAAGGTAGCATGCGTGCTTCAATGTCTAAAATTTCTAATAATCAAATGTTGCATATTTGAAATGTTTCTTCTGTAACAGTCAGTCATGCTGCCTTGACATCTTGTAATTATATATTTAACATTAATGTTATTAATATTATTGATTACGAAAAGCAAAATATTATCAATGAAAATCTTGTAATTACCCAGCAAGATCTGCTCCGTGTTTTGATTTCAATTAAATACTTGTAAACTAAATATATATATCAATACAAATAAAAAAAAGTACCTCTGGTTAGTTATTAACACGTCTTCTTTAGGAGACTCACGTTTTGTCATCTTTGGACTCTGTCAAAAAATAAATTGTTTTTTCAAAAAAAAAAAAAAAAAATCAATTCATGTCAACAAAAAAAAATCTCTGTATGACATCAAGTGCCAATAATAAATAATTAGTGTGTACGCGTTGATCAAATCACAAACTTCTTTTAGATTTTAAAGATGTCAAAATCTATAAGCAACAAAAGAAGAAAAAATAATATTCGTGACGAGCATTTTGAGTAAGTGTTTATCATAAGAATGGTGGTGGTGGTTATCGCCCGCCATTCGTTGTTACTCTAATTGTTTATTAAAAAATGGTGGTTATCCCATTTGTAATTCTAGTTTAGCATTAATGATATTAAACTTTGTTTTTTTTATTGTTTCTTAGAGAATCATCATCATTGTTGACAACAACAAAAATAGTTCACCAACAGCAATTGCAAGTAAGTAAATTATATTTTCTTTGGATGGATAAGAGTGACTTTTTAATAACTTGGATCTTTTTGGTTTCTAATTGAAGAAAAATAATGATTTGTCAGGAACACTATCATCACCACCAAAGGAAATTGATGAGGATGAAGATGATGAAATAGTATAATCATTATTTGTTTCAATAAATTAATTAATCTTTAGTGCTCAATAATGATTAACATCGTGAAATATCAATTCAATATATTATTATTTAAAGGAATTTGAGGATTCAGTAATTAACTTTGGATCAAATTATAATGAAGTATGAATTTTGATTATTCATAAAAATGGAAAAACTTTACTAATTTATAATTATTTAAATAGGCTCTAAAAAGCATAAATAAAAATATTATGGAATTATATAATTCTGCTGATAAATGGTAAAAAATTTTTTTGATAATCATAATTTATTCGTATTAATGGAATATTTATCATCTAGTGATATAATTAAAATGGGAATTATAAATCTTGAGGATGAAAGGAAAAATAAGAAGAAGGCTTTTAAAAAAATTTCTCAACTGTATAAAAAAGATTTCAAGGTTTTATATTGTGACACATTAACTGATAAAGATATAAATCAGATGTTAGAGGATCTAAAAGGAATTTCAAATGTTGAAAGTGTTAAGGAATATATAGATAAATATAAAACATATCAAAGTCTTGATTTAGATTTGAAAAGTGTGATAAAAAGTTTTATATACACTATTGCTTTTCAATTGTAAGTATTGAAATATTTACATGTATATTGGCATCGCAATTATTAATATAAATATTTATTTAATTTAGTGGCAGTTGTTTCACCTTAAATGACAGTTATTTTGAAGAAATGTTCTCAGAAACACATATTTCTGTAGTCACACATTTCACAATTTTTATGAATTTATTTAGGACTAGGGACTATTCAGTTAAAATAAACAGGTAGATTTTTTTGTTTGAATTTTTATATTTTAGAATCAGTAGTATTAATTTATGTTATTTTATTTTATTGACAGTCAACATGATGCTAATAAATACCGCAGAAATCAAGATTATGATGATAAAAATATAAGAAAATCACTAATACCAGATGTAAAATTGTCATATAAGAAGAGAACAATTGAAATACTTGTAGTGGAGAATGCCAAGTTTAATTCTATTAATGGAAAAAGAAAAAAAACAACTGATACTAAGAAAATTTCTATATTAATGCATGACCAAATCTCAAGGCTATATGATTATTTAGATGAACATGATAAGGGTGAACAGGTGAAAGAGTTAGAAGTCTATGGAGTTATAACTTCAAGTAAATATTATTTATGATGATGGCTAGTTAACACAAAATAATAAACTAAAAAAGTTTTTTAAAAAAAAATTAGGGCTTGAAACAGAAATATATGTCATGACAATTCCAGCACCAGAATTCAGGGTTTTATTCATGAATATCATGAATATCATTAAGGGGGTTACACGCTATTAAAACAGCAAAAAAATCCCTTAAAAACATGAGTTAATCACTTGATTTTAATAGTGTGTGACCATGTGTGACCCCCTTATGATATTCATGAATACAAACCCTACCAGAATTATACCTGTTTTATAAGATTATGAGTTTTAGGCTGCCATCAGATGTTGCTGATTTTGACCAACTGAAAGATGCTTTTAAATACATGATTAAATTTCGAGTAAGTTCACTTTTCAATTGTTTTAAAATTCCTTTTATTTTGGAGTTATAACAAATCCAAAATTTTTAGACAATTGTAGATGAGAATCATAGAAGATTGAAAAATATTATTGAAGGAAGACCTGTGACTCCAACCAATTCTATTCAATGGACAATAAAAATCAAGAAATCTCCTATAACTTTAAAAAAAGAAGAAAAAGAACTAAAAAATAAAGCTACTAGAATTGAAAATTCGAGAGAAAAAAATCCATTCACTTAGGCTTAGTATGATTCTTCTTTCTATTATTGAATATTCCTAGATTATTTTATCAAATTAAAAAAATTTAAATAATATTTTTTCACAATGACAATTTTAACATAAATAATAATAAAGCTGAATTACAACAAGTATTTAATTATTTAAAAAGCAATAATAAAACATCTTTAGCCCAATCAGAACTTAGCCAAATCATTGCCGAGAAAAAGAAAGAACAATTGCAACAAACTAACTCAACTAATTCTTTGCCTCATTTATTAATAGGAGGAATAATAGTGTTGATGATAGGAAGTTTTGCCTATCTGTTAGGAAGAAAGAAAAAAGAAAAAAAATTAAGGAATTAATTAACCTGAATTAGGTGGTAAATTATTTTTCTTCTGATTTTCTTTCTAGATTCATCATGGTTTTGTGTCAATGTTCTTTTATTAGTTATGATTTTTCTTTCTTCTTGGTAAATTTCATAAGTAATCTTTTCTTTTCTTAGATAAGCTTCCAGTGTCTGAGTATCATTTATTTTGAAAATGTAAGGTGCAATTTTTTCACCTTGTTCTTTCTTCAAAATACTTCTAATGGTGCTATAATTCTTGGGTTCCATAGTAGACCTGATATAAATTAATTTCATATTAACTATTTTTATATAGGGGTAGTTCTATATATCACAAATG